GAGGAATGCTTTTCACTGTTGCTTATGCTGATAACTGATCATTTAAATATGATAGTAAAATATTTACTAGATCATTACAGATACTGTTCGTATATTTTAGTATTATATGTTAACTATTCATAAGTCCACACTGTATTCAGTAAAGTTGCATTAAATCAATTTCATTTACATATTCAATTAAATAAAATAAAACAAAATATAAGGTTTACATAAGGAGCGTGAGAAACAAATAATATGACAATCACAATTATTACGATATTTATATGAGAAAATAGTCATTAAGCTAGAGAAGTCTTTGTAATTAAAGAAGAAACTGACAGATTGTTCAATTTTCGCATAATAGTATAATCTAGGGATGCGGTGTCGGTATACTGACCACTGATAATCACCGGCTCTGAAAGCACTGGGAGATCGGTGCGCACTGCACCGACCTTATGGCCAGTGTCGGTGCACTGACACTGGCTTCACCGACGAACTGAATTCACTGAACACTGAGCTGAGTCAGTATATCAGTGCTCAGTGCAATACTGCTGACACTGATACTTAATTTCGATTTAAAAGAATTTGTTAACAAAATGTTATGACATCTTTCGACTGCATGTATAGTGGACACAAGACGACTATTAAATATAAGTTATTAGATAAATAATCTTTCTTCTGGCCCAGATTTTACTATTTTTTTCAGCGTGATTCATTGTAGCGAATGATTGCGGTTATTTCTGTGCTACAATCGATCAGCTAGTTTTTAAAAAGTGTTTATTGACTTTTATGATTTGTTTTTTTTTGCTATAATTGAACCTTTGACTTGTGTTTCATTCTATAAAGTATATTACATATTAAAAACATGAAGGTTTACCATTTATTCGTCTTTCTTATAACTTCACTATTCGTTTAAACATATGCAATGTTTGATGGAACACAATGAAGAATAAGAGTTAAAAATCTGGAAAAGCATACTCTTGCTTCTAGATTAATCGTTTTTTGTATAAGTTGAATTTCTTTTCAGATATTACTACGACTGTTCTGAAGATTCAATACATTAATCTAGTATTGTTAATTACACTGAAATTATTTATAGCCAAATACATTTGGAGTATGTTATTTATGGGAATGCTTATTACAAATTGTTTTTTTTATAAAGTAGTTTATTCTTATTTCAGCAGATCTATCGCATTTATATTATTTGTACCAATCAGTGTGTTAAACATAATCTGTTATCATAATTCATCGTAAACGAACGAAATAAATATGGTTTTAGGATCAAATCAAGTTATTGAAAATGTTCTTACACATCAGCATAGCTCAAGTAATGGTAATTATATAAAACAAAAAGAAAAAATTATTTTTGTATTAACTATTAGCAACCAATTTTGTTTCAGATGCCGAGCCACGTGAGGTTGGTGATGTTGCCCGACAACCTAGGAAGAAAAAGGGCAATTCTAAATCGATCAGTGAGTAAAAATTTCACGATTTCTCGTAGATAATACAATTTTTAAAGATACAACAACGAGTGAATCAATTAATGGAACCAATAAAAGAACATCTATAGCTTATTCGAATGTTTGGAAATATGCAGTTCGTGATAGTAATCCAAATTTTGCCATATGTTCTTTGTGCAAGGAACACAGACGAATATCAACAAACAATGGATCTACTTCAACTTTAAGAAAGCATTTAATAATAAAGCACAATTTAAAAGAATTAACTTTATCAACTGGTAAAATCTCAAATGTAAGAGATCAAATAGATCCTATTCGAAAGCAACAGTTGCGCAAACTTGCTATTGATTGTATTATACGTGATTCCAGAACATTCAACGATTTTCAAAAATCTGGTATTAAACGTTTACTGCATGAGCTTGTACCAGCACTGAGTCACTCATTGATCACAACCCGCAAATTTCAGTATGCGCTCTTGAAAAGAAAAAACTTGGCGGAAAACGGAATTCCCAAGAGAAACGAGATACAGGGTTTTGTACAGCAAAGTATTCTCCACAACCTGAACTAGATTAGAGCATGCGCTTTTTTGATTTGACCAAATGCGAAGCTATAAAAGATAAAAATTATATTTTTCGTATTTGAGGGAAGCATCAGGTAGCAACATGAAATTCATATTCTTTCCATCAACAAGATTTGAAACTATATATATTCAACATCTGAGATTCGCTCACAATTAACATTAAATAAAAAATTTTCTTTTTAATCAAATGAGATTTTCTTTCTCTTACGAAATCTATTGATCGGTTCCTTTTTCTTTCTTTTCAATTACATAGCTTCGAACTGGATTTTCACCATCATTCTTTTGGTT